CACCTAGGAAGAACCTAACTGAGAATCCCATGTGGTAGAGGTGTCCTGTCAGCTACATACTTTTACTCTTAACTGGTGTAAGAAAAACCTATCTGGACTACACCTGCAACTTTTCTTGAAGATTAAATTGATTCCAAATGAAAGATAATGAAGCCCACAAAATAAGTAGAATGCAGTTGATATGAGTCTTCATCCAAAGAATGATTAGAGGATGTTTTCCATAAAAAGATCTATTTTCAAAGAAAAGCCCTAATGTTTGTGGTAGAGGGGAATGAGAATAACATACAGTCATGTTTCTCAGAAGGAAGAAGACTGAAATACTTTAAAATGTGAACATTTTCCTTTTGAATGAGTTGCTATTCAAGGAGAATAAGTGTACTTGCTTATTGTATGCTGACTTTCATAACCTCTTCAGTTATAAGCATTTGGAAAGCAGTGAGATTTGACTTTTTAAAGTAGATCTTACAAAGCCATCTCTTGACCTTCTTCTGATGTTTCAATTATTTTTTCTTGTTGGTGGTGAAGAGTGCATTCTCCTTTTGCATTCAGCACCAGGAAATCCATAGTCAATCCCGGTTACTCTCTTCAGTCTTGATCTTCTTATATTAGCAGAACTTTAGCCAAGTTATTCATCACATTGCTCTTAATGAGTTTCACTGTTATTTGAATTTGTATGTGATACATTATTCTTACATGTTTAAAGTTCTTACATGCTTATCTTGAAGACATTTAGTTCACCTAAATGTCTCCTTGTACTAGTTCCAGCACAGTTCTTCATTTACTTTGCAAAATATGTTGACCTCAAGATCTAGTCCACCTTGGAAAAAACATCAACGCTTATAAATATGCAACTGAGTCATAGAGTTCATATAAACCCAAGTCTAAGGAGATATTATCAAAGCTTAGTGAAGCATATTGGTTAAACCCATGGGAGGTAGAGCCAGATGTCAGAATTTAAATCCATCCCCTCCACTTAATATCTGACTTTGGATTAGCTATTATTTTCTACAGGTTTCTGATCAAAAATAAGAAGTAGGAAAGCTAATATCATACTGTTATAGGACTATTGTAAATGTTGGAAGAATTTAATACAGCTTCTGAAATGTTATAATTTTTCAATACATATTAATTATCAATAGAGGAACTCTGAACATTAAGAAAAACTGTGTTGGCCTTCCCTGGTGGCGCAGCGGGTTAAAGCACAGCACTAAGAAGCTAACGCCACTTCCGCATGAGTTCCATTCCCGCCTGCCCTGGAGGTGACCACATGGCGCAGCAGACCTCTCCTGACCCGCCCGCTGCTCCCCTCAGCAGTGGACTTCCTCATTCAGCCTGTTGTGCTCCCTGCTCTGTCTCTGGTGAATCCTCTTACCCTCTGCATCTCTGGCCTGTACCTCAGTTCCATATGAATAAATAAATAAATCTTAAAAAAAAAAGAAAAAAAAAAAGAAAACCTGTGTCGTGCTTTTTATTATCATATTTCACACCATGGTAATGCCTACCAGCTCAAACATCACTTGACTTCTTCGTCCTTTTAGCCCCACTTTAGCTAGTATTTACTTCCTAATAAAACAGTATTTATTCCAGTATATGCATTTGTGAAACATAAAATTAAGGTTTGTTGAGCCATTTACTGGTCCAGCATTCATAGCATAAAGACTATCTTTATTGAATTCTTACTGACAGATATAATTCACAAGTGAATGATTGTAAAGAAATTAATATTCTCTGAGCATCAACTCTAATGTTATGCCATATAATTATTGAATTTTGCCAAACAAATATACTTTTTATGTAATGGTTATTGTGCCTACTATATAGATAGAAAAGGCAAGGCTTAAATGGTTATTGTTATTTGAATAAATACGAGGCAAATTTGCAGCCAAGTAATCTGAAATCCTGTTTCCAAGTCAAATAAAACCTTTATTTTACCTGAGCCCAGATGTAGATATAAATCAGGGTTAAATAGTCATCATCTAACTATACAACAGCATTAAAAATATCTATTTAAGAGGTGAATAGTATGGTGCAGAATGAAAAGTAGTTATTAGATTCCAATCATAACGTAGTATGTATAGATGTCAAATTAGTATGCCGAACACCTGAAATCCATATAATGTTATAAGCCATAGTTATGTCAATAAAGTGTCTGGAACTCAATAAATGTAAATAAATTTTCATTGACAAAACCAAGTTCAACAATGTCAGTTTGAGATCCACAGTTAAAATCAGACACGCTCACAAGCCATTCTTTATGTGGTACTGCCATAAAAGTGAATTCTCATCAAGTTCTGAAATTCACAGTATCATATAAGAGAACTGTGTCTTCAGCTTCCAAGTAAGATATTTCTAAAATAATTTGGCTGCCATTTGGGCAAATATATATGTGTGTTTTGTCTTGACAGCTTGTCAACTGGCAGACAGTTCTTGAACATCACATTCATTGCAGTTTAATATTGGGAAATTTCTCAATTAGAATTCTATTTTTCACTTTTTGCACAATGAAATCTCCCTGTCATTGTTGGCATTCCACGGGGCATACAATGGTGCAGGTGCTGGCATTTCTACAGTAGCAAAAGAAGAAAAATGAAAGAAGGAAAGAGGGAGGGAAGGCATGAGCTGAGAGAGAACAGTGTAATGGGGAGAGAAAGGAGATAGTAGATGACCTTCATCCTCATAGTCACCTTCATGAGAAATGAAGGGAATAATTCACACTTGACAATAAAGTATGCAGCTGCCTCTGCATCCTTTAACCAGAGAGGCTGATGTCAAACTGAAACCAGCCACCCAATGTATAAAATCAATACACAGGAAAGGTCTAGAGGTAAGGTGGGAAGTAGATTAATAAAAATAATTCTAAAACCCACAACCATCACCAATTATTGAACACTTCTCTACTTTATGACAGATCCGTACTTTAATTACATCATGCAATTCTCACACAATGAGAGCAAGGTGGGTATTATTATCTTTGCATTGTAGTAAGGAAAACAAACGATTTAACATCGCCGAGTTTCAAAGTCAAACAGATAATAAGGGATAGAATCAAAACTGCATAGATCTAACTTTAAAATCCATACTTTGAACTACAGCACATTCTATGTGGTTTGAGAAGAAATATCACAGGCTAAGCATTTTTCAAAAATATACTTATAGCTGTTTATATGTTGGTGTCAGTTACTTATTTTAGTCTTTACCTACTAACCAAGAAATATATTTTAGAGAAAAGTGTGTACACACACAAAGAATTGCATCTACACATTGCATTGTTATTAATAAAGCTATAAAATCCTTTCCTTAGCTGAAATTGACCTTGCGGATGTTTTGGAGGGAGTTTTTTCTCAACATTTTTATCAGACACATGACTCATATATACAGAAATGGAAGCCTCTGACACATTTACAATAAATAGATATAGGCTTGCCATTATGCTGTAGAATCATGATAATAAGACAAAAATAAAAGCTTCCCTGTTCACTGTTTATTAGCAATTAAGAGAAAGTCTTCTGTACATATTATAGGCTCTAAGAGTCCTTTAAAATTATTGTATTCTACTCAGAATAAAAGACAAATTAGCCAAGTTCTCTGCTTTAAATGAGTTGCTCAAACAAGAAGGGAAAAAAAAAGGAAGAAAGAAAAAACTATATAGGGTTTCTCGATTCCTGTTTTTATGACAGAATTTAAAAGACATATAGAGAATGTTTCACTTGCTCATTGTTGCTTTCTTTCTGTGGTGCTGGAGATGGTAGAGAGATAGCTTTGTGCTAGAATACCACAGATGTTCCCTTAGAAGAAGTACCATTCGACAAGCCATAGAGGAATGATTTGATTTTGATAAGAGAAAAAAATATATAAAAGCAGATTTCCTTGCCCAAGAAATAGTCAAGTGGAGTTTTGGGAAGAGAAATACCTGGGAGAGATGTGAAGACCTAAAATCAATTCTGATTTGTTGCTGCAATTGCTCTATCTACCAAAGCTATTCTGTAGGTAAGAAAGAGGAGGTCTAATGCAGTCAGGAGCCTTACCTAATTCTGGCTTTCAATTTATATCTCTACTGTGTTTTCATTCATTCTTTTTTATTATTATTAATCTCATCACATTCACCTGCTTCTAATGTATATGTCCCCTTTAGGTTGCCTCAAATGCGATTTGAAACAAACCACCAGTGTATATATTACATACACGGGAGTGATTTCCATGATCTTATACTCTGAATGTTAGATCCTGCTAACTACTTTTGTCAAATAAGGAAGAAATCTACACATGTGCCCTCTTACAACATAAAGTCGAGGATCTGGGGTTTCCTGTACGAGGGTCAGGATTTGGGAATAGAAAAGCCAAGCCCCCAAAGGGGGGAAGTGGAGCAAATCATATTTTTGAAATATAGACTGCGTGTATATGTGTAATGGCGACCTCAAGGGTTCGGAAGACACCGTCATTCACCGGTGAGAGCCATCTTCTGGGAAAAGTTCAGTTCAGAGAGATAGCTGCAACACACGAGTCTCTTTGGTAACTATCATTTCCTGATCCACTCCATACCAGCCCCACCAACTTAATCCAATATCTGGCTGACTACAGACCTAAACAATTTTCTATTTCTCTCTGAGCTGCATCTGCATGAGAATATACACAAACAAATAATTAAACATCAAGCAAATATCAATAGGATTAGTCTGGCATGTTGGAACAAATCTTGATAAATCCGCCTCAGTAACAATACTCGAACTACAAGTCTAGGAGAGGAATACAAATTCAGTCTATTGAAGTGCTGTCGTGGAAAGAGATATTTTAATAAAACTGCTTCGTCAGTTCCTATTACTGAGGGACTAGAGCTATTGAGCTGTGGAACTGAGGCCAAAAAAGGGAATTTGGAAATGCAAATGAGAGATACGGAGATAATAAATGTCTTTTTTTTTCCCCCAACAACATACTATCCCTGATGCCAGGAGTTATTTTAAGGATGACTCTTAAAATACCTGTGAGATGGGAAACATACATACCCAGAATGGACATCTCTGGCACAGTAGCATGATAGGGTCCATTAAGAAACTCTGGTGCATTGTCGTTGATGTCTTGAACTTTTATAATAAATTCAGAAGGAGGCTCAAGAGGTTTGTTCGTCTCCCAGTCCACAGCCTGAGCTGTTAGGGTATACTCAGCCTTTTCCTCTCGGTCAAGTCTTTTTATAGCATGGATATCTCCTGTTATGTCATTTATTTGAAAGATTGTCCCAGCTCCATCTCCTGAGAGGATATATTTGATTTTTTTGCTCCCAGGATCCAGGTCTGTGTGTAGCTAAAATGAAAAAGTGATAATGGTAAGTGATGGGGCAATTTACAAGGTTATTATTATTTTTTTTAACAACCTACTGTTTGAGTATCAAGTTGTCCTCTTCAAATTATTGTCACTTTATCAATTTCTGCCAAGGGTATCTACATGAGTCTATGCAAGTGTGTGCTTATTATGTAAAATATAATAAAATCCATAGAAATAAGTTCGAACAGATTTTCTAAAAAATATTCTGACCTGTATAAACTGACATGCACCTAAATGATGAAAAGAGCAAGAGGAAAATACAAAGATATATATAACCTTTTCAATTTATGAGTTCAATTATCTGGTGTCTTTATTCTTATTTACCTTTTATGGATCACTGTCTGCATTTTAAGGAGTATGTGAGTCACTGTATGTGATAAAATATTAACTTTTCCAAAAGTGATGGGTTTGCGTATTTCATAAAAAAACATGACAGAGGCCTCCCTGGTGGCATAGGGGTTAAGTTTCAGCACTACCACTGCTACTGCCTGAGTTCTCCCAGCCCCTCTGTCTCTGGTGAATCCTCTCACACCCACCCCCAGCACACCTGTGGCCTACCCCCAGTTACTCTATGCAAAATAAATAAATAAATAAAAATAAAAAGGAAACTTGAAAATAGTAAGGTGTGACAAGGTATATATAAACTCTCCAAGGCTCATGTTTGATGAAATTAACTGTAATAGACCTAACAACACAACTCAGAGCTGCCTGCTCTCTCTACAGAAACAAAAGCGATTCTCATTCATCTGATATGGATTGAGACCTTATGTCTGCATAGGGTTTCTTTTTTGTGGAATTGTGTCACACAATTCTTCTGGTTCTGGAAGAGCATTCCTTTTCTACACAGAAAAGCCCTGAGGCCAGAATATGGGGGAACACTTTACAGTAATGGCACAAATTTGAAAAATGAAAACTTTGCAGCAGGAATTCAGAGGAATCTTAGGTCATGCTAACAAAAATGTATGAAAGACCTAGTCTGCCTGAAATTTTTTCCTAGGAACTGGGTAGAACAGAAATCCAGGATTTAAATTGCTCTGCTTGCTCTCATGAACAAGACTGGAATGTTCTGATACATGATGTGCCTTTCTTAAATGAAGTTGACTCCTATTAAGTAGCTAATAGAAATCAAGAATATATGTCTTTAGTTTAAATTTAAATGTTCACTAAAGAATAGTTATAATACTGCATAAACTCACAGATTTTTCAGTTTACCACATTTGCCTAAATACCAATAAATTGACAGTTCCAGGTATTCCATTGAGATTTAAAACACCTGCCCCTTTAAAAAAAAAGACTTCTGGTAGAAAGAAACCCCTAGAAACTCTAAAGACATTGTGTTCTCTTGGGATCACTTCAGAACAGGCTCTATCGCTTTCTTCGCCAATTTAAATTGTATTTAGCTATTCAGTAAGTGAAATGAAAAGATTATTTAAAAAAAAAGATAAACAGCAACAAATAATCCAAAGGCATCTAGATCTTTTACTTGACTTTTGAATATTTTTAAGAGTTAAACCATAAGATTATATCAAATATTTATTGAATCTCAAAATGTATCCTTTTCATGTATTGTATTAAATTTATTAACAAGAGCCAAATATGGAAATGCCACTTTATCTTAATGAATGTGAGATTATAATTCATTAATGTGATATTAATCCTAATTTATGATCATTTTAATTTATGTGCATTTTAACATTTCTATTAGCATTTTTATTAAAAAAAGGAAATTTGAATAATATATCATTCATGGAGGTTTCTGTTCACATACAAGGTATTCCTGAGACACAGAAGGTATTGCTATGTGCCACTCTCAATCACAACATTTTTCCCGTTAAGAGATTGTCACTATGTGGATTACAACAATCTAAGAAAAATATTTTTTTTTTAAATAAAAGAGACTGTCATTCAAAATGATACCACTGTTATTTATGTTACAACTTATCTATGCTATATGTCCTTATGTCCATCATTTGTCTCTGGTTAGTAAATTTTATTGCACTCAACTTGATTTTTGATAGTTGCTTGTGTTTAAAAATGCCAGGGGAAAAAACGGAAGGGGTTTTGAAAGAGTAAAAGACAAAACTAAGAACCAAGTGTAACTACAGAAATTAGGTTATCTGAGTTTCAGTTACTTTGTCTATAATATGGGGATATAACATCTACCCTGCAGAAGAGAATATAAGTTAATGTCTTTGAAAAAAATAACAGAGAATATGGAAGTAGACCTGTTTAGTGTCCAGTAACTGAAATCTACTCCATATTCAACCATACATAACTATCTGAAAACATTATAATAAACTTAGTTGTAACCTAGGTGAAAACAAGTTCCCAACACAATATGCTGAAAAAAAAAAAAGGGGGGGGGAGAAAAGCCCCAGGGGAATCTCTGTTGCTTCCTCTTTCTTCAAGAAAATTCATTTCCAGCATATCTCAGTAAAATCCAAATCCCTTGGGATGGCAGAAACCTTGAAACACAGAACATTGCATTTGCATATTCCATTTGCCTATCCTATTATTTATGATATGCATACCCAACACCCAACATTCTTGCATATGGCTGGATGTCAAACCCCCCCCCCAAAAAAAAAGAACTCTGGTGTGAGAAATAGAAATTTACAGGGTGCACATGTTTATATGACTCCGGATCTAGATTCAGAGAATGCAGTGACAAGCTGCTGCTTTCTCTTTTAGTCTTCACATAAGTCTATTAGAAGCAGCTCGCTTCCATGCACGAGTGCCTCTATCAATTTATCCCACACCAGAACCCTCTCTGTAGATTACTGTGCCAAAGATATCCCAAATGTGCCACGTGTTCACACACTGCATCATCTGGAAGTGTGAGTGTACCTCCTCTCCCCAGGGCTGCTTCTGCTAATTAGAGCAGGATGAGGGCCACATGCAAATTGGCCTGGGGTGTTAAGGCTCTTGGTCTGGCAGTGGTACAAAAAGACCTCATCCATTCATTTATTAGATGTGTGCAGAGGATGTTTAGAACTAAGGCGACATGGTTTCTGTCCTTAAAGACCCATATGTTAGTGGGAGATAAAAGCAGAGTAACAGAAATGCTAAGGGAAGTGTTGTTATTATTTTTTATTACTATTACTATTATTACTATGACTTGGATCAATGACTTCTTATCTGGTAAATATTATACATGTAAACTCTAATTTGCTTCTCACGACAAACTAGAGATCATCTGTCTATGTCACTAACAAAACAACTGGGATTCAGATATTTTTAAGGAGCTTTCTCACAGCATGTAGCAAGGAACAATCTTAATGGCACAAGTCTTAGACTAAATTTCCTGTATTCACATGCATACCCTAAAGGTTATAAAGTAAAAGGTAGAAGGCTCTAAGAACACATAAGAATTTTACTTAACTCAATATGGGAGTGTGAGGGACAGGAAGGAGCCCCCACAGAAGTGATCATTGACATTTCAGATCTTAAAGGAGGAAAAACTATGCCAGGCACAAAATGAAGATCCAGAGACTAGAGAGAGCGCATGCAATGTGAGAGACTTGACAGATGATTTAATAATATGGTTAGAGCACTGAGGTAGATGAGAGGTGTCAAACATAACAATAGAATGCAAGGCAAGGGCTATATTATGCTCAAACTCCTATGGAAAATAGTATAGAGATTTCTAAACACATTAAAAAATAGATTTAACCTATGTATGACTCAGTGATTCTGCAAAAACACCGATTTATAAGGAATACATGCACTTCTATGCGCAGCACCACTTAAAAAAAAAAAAAAAGACATTTATGCATACAGAACTGAGGTACAAGCCAGCAGTGAGAGCCTTCACCAGAGACAGAGTGGGAAGCAGGACAGCCAGATTGACGAAGTACACCGCTGAGGGGAGAAGTTCGCGGGTCAGGAGAAGTCTGCCACGCCATGTGGGTCACTTCCGGGGCAGGGGATCGAATTCCTACTGAAGCGGCTGCAGCTCACTTGCAGTGCTGCATCCTAACCTGTTGCACCACCAGGGAGGGCCTGCAGCACCATTTTTAATGGTCAAGTTAAGAAAACAATCTAGGAATCCAAGGAAAACGGGGTGAATTAGGAAGATGTGGTATATAAATACAACAAAGTGTCGAGACCAAGATATAGAGTTAGGATTTGACTATAAAAGCGATAAGAATTCATAAGCACAAGGTTTCTGTGAAGAGTCTGCTAAACTAGTTTTGTTTCGAAGCATCACAGTGGTTGGTGTGTGTCTCAAAGTAAAGGTTTTGGAAGCCAAGGGGAAAGAAGGTCAGAGAGAACGCCTAGGTACCAATTCACAAAGCAGCCTCAAGTTTGATGCCCAAGTTCAGCACAGTGTGTGGGATCCAATGTACCTCTAACCTGAAGTGTCTGTACTCCCACTGGCCCCTCACAGCAGCCTGGCTGGAGAAGCACAGTCAGATGCACAGAGAGCAACTCCAGTGTTTCACACCAGGTCTTCAATTTCAGGGCTCGTAACGGGACTCCTGCATAATTGAGCTAAATTATATCAGTATAATTATACCCTTGCCATCTTCCATATGTTTGCATAATACCCCCTAATTAAAATATCAGTTTAAAGTCATGGGAAGAAGCATTTGCATTTTCATACTTCTTCGTATTCCCAATGACTAGTCAGGTGTCTGAATCTCAAAAAAGGTGTTGGAATCTCAAAAAATATATATATATATATATATTTGGGGAGTAATGTGAATGTAGAGGAAGGGAAGGAGAGAAACATTTTCTCATTTTATTTTCAAAACAAAAATTTAAAGAAGCGAGCAAAGGGATTTTAAGAAGTTGAGTCCATTGCTCTACGGCCTCATCTACTCTAAATGCAAAGTCCTTGAATTCCCCCAAGTACACATTCAATTTTAGCACTCAGCATTAAAACTAGGACATAACAGACGACTGGAGGGCTGATGGAAGGGTGGGAGGGTGGATGAATGGATGGATAATGGGTAAGGACTGGGTGGAGAAGAGAA